CCTAAAAAAAAAAAAAAAATTCAGTGTACTATGATTTTCTCTTTGGTCAAAGATGAATTATCTTTTCCATGTTCACAACATTGAAGCACTAAACAGACAAAAGAGTACTCTTCCAAGAATGTTTTATTTTTTATTTTTTATTTTTTAGTTTCTCTCTCTCTACCTTGGAATCTTTTGGTCATGGCATTGCACAAAATGTCCAACACAAAGCACGAAGACCGAGTGAAATGACAAATTGGCTTCATTCTCTCAAGTCCACAAGGACCCCTTTGATACCGTCCAAGATATTGGTCATCACATTCTCTCTTTCACTTCATGACAAATTATCCATGTCTTGACAAAAAAACCCATCAAATCTTGGATAACAAAAGGCCTTGTCCTTGTTATTGTATATCTATCTACATCTCAAGATATGCTGTCTCCACGAATGAGAGATTAAAAATGTAGGCAAAACTTTAAAAATGGTCCACTATTTTGGCTATTTTTCGAAAAAATGTCTATCGTCTAAGGCGTCACCAAGAATGGTCCACTAAGTTGTCAATTTAATCAAAATTCGTATAATAACCAACATAGTGTACTAAAAGTGATCATTTTTAGTTTCCATATTTAGTACACTATTTGGCTTTTGTACGAGTTTTGATTAAAATGACAACTTAGTGGTCCGTTCTTGAAGACGCCGTATATGATGGACTATTTTCAGAAAATGGCCAACATAGTATACTAATTAAAAATAAAATTTAGCCTAAAAATGTATGTTGCGTGTGATTTTAATGCAATCTGATAATTGTTGGTTGAGTTGGGTTTTGATAACATCCTACACTCTATAATGTAGATTGTTATACTTAATCCAAGAAAAGTGGATATAATTATCCTATCCTATCAAATTCTAGTGTCAAATGAATTGAAAATCTTAAAAAGTCTTAACAAGTTATAGTGTCAAATGAATTAAATACCATTTTTTTAAGACTTTTTAAAATCCTAATCGAATACCCCATTATTTTTAAAAGTCTTAATAAATCTGGATTGAATACAGGGTTTTAAAATCTTAAAAAGTCCTTAGAAATTCCAATTGAATATACCCTCTTAAAGTCTGATCAAATCTTAAAAATTCTTATTAAAATGTCATTTTAAATCCCAACTGAATATTGAAATAATAATATTAATATATTATAAAGAAAATATGCTAACAAAATAATGTAATTATATTTAAAAAAATTAATTAATAAAAACTGAAAAATTGCCGCCCAACCGCCTAGTCTTCGAGAGGGCAGAGGCCCGCCCGCCTAGCCGTTTGGCTAATTTTTTCGGCAAATTCATGCAAATCGAAGGTGGCCGATTTTTAGTATAGCGTAAATAAGTCAATGATTGAAATTAGAATTTGATCAGAAAAAAGGTTATGAAAATGCAAAACAAATTAAACGTAAATTGTTCATGAATAGGTCCCCCCTCACCTCATATAAATACAAAACATATACTGCTGCACTGCAACACTGTTATACAGGGCCCTTTAAAAAAAAAATACACTAGAAAAAGATTAATAATTATTACTAATTTACTACTATTAATTTTCCATTTTTTTCTTTTGTTTTTCTCAGCCACCCCAAATTTTTCGAACCATATGTACTGCTAGTCCCTGCGCGCGCCTCATATATGATTGCTTTATTACAAAACCCAAAAGATAAGGAAAAAATTAGAGAAAAAATGTACAACGGCCAAAAGGACGAGCGCAAGCCCGGCGGCGGTCCGCCGCTCGCGAGCCCGCGAATCTCCTTCTCCAACGACTTCATCGAGGCCGGAGCCTCTCACCACGGCCAGATCAGGGGCGGCGCGTACAGGGACGCGCCGGTCTCCGACTTCGAGTTCTCCGTTGGCGGCTACTCCATGATGAGCGCCGACGAGCTCTTCTTCAAGGGGAGGCTGCTTCCGCTCAAGGAGAACTGCGCCGCCACCGGGAGGGCGGCGGCGGCGGCGACGACCCTGAGGGACGAGCTCGAGAACGGAGACGACGGTGACGGCCGCGGCGGCGGCGGCGAGGGGTTTTCGCTGAGGCCGCCGAAGAATCCGGCGAGGTGGAGGGGATTTTTGGGGCTCCGAAAGTCACACAACGGGTCGAAGAAGGCCGACAAGGGCGGCGAAAATAAGACCGCCGGCTGTAATAATAACGTCAGCCACGACGAGGATGACGTAGGAAGAAACATTTCAGTCTTTCACATGTTTTTTTTTTCGATTTTTTTTTTCTAAATTTTGACAGCAGTTTCATTTTTATTCTTCCAAAATAGTCAATTTATTCCTTTTTCATTTTTATGATANTGTCTTATTTTTTTATATTTATCTTTGTTTTTAACTTTTAAATTTGAAATTATATATATTTGTTAAAAATTATGTCTGACTATTTATTAGACCTAATTAATTTCTGTTTTTAATGTTTGCGCAGGAATTCGTGGATTGACTAAATGGAGGGCTTTAAAGATATTATTTATTTGCCGTTTAGAGGGCTTGGCAAATTTTGGCGGAGAAAATTGGAAATTGGGATAGTTATCTGGGTTTTGTTTCTATTTGAGGTTGGGTGTTATGAATTTGTGTGGTAAGCTAATTGTACGAGGGAGTGGAAATTTTTAATTTGCTCTCATTTCTTTTTCTATTTCGTTTGCTTTTCAGTTTTATTGTAGTGTGTTTGAGTTTTCATCCTCCAATTCTGGTATAAGTTATTCGTTGATTAATTGTTGGAAAAATCAGTTGTAGAACTTGAGTTTGACTCGGTTTTAATTGAATTTTTTATGATTAAATATTTAATTGGAGATGAATTAAATTGTGTAGAAAAAATATTAGGATAGAAATTCGTTGTATATTTATTTTCTCAAAACTAATTTATAGTGGATGAGAAATAAATTATTAAAGTTAGTCATAAATTGGCACGTAAAACGATGATTGTGGGATTCGAATGGTCAAAAGTCATTCTCACATTGGACTCTTAAATGAGATTAATTCTCTTTATTATAACTCGTTGAATATTTATTTTCTCAAAACTAATTTATAGTGGATGAGAAATAAATTATTAAAGTTAGTCATAAATTGACACGTAAAACGATGATTGTGGGATTCGAATGGTCAAAAGTCATTCTCACATTGGACTCTTAGAGCATCTCCAATGTGAAATGTTGACTTAATAAAATGTTAGCCACATCATCAAGTTATAAAGTGAAAACAAAAATTAATCTCCAATCCATAATGTTATGGACTCTTTTATGCTGACATGGAGACAATAAACATCCAAAGTGTGAAGCCCACTTTCTAGTTTTTCAAAGAGTGTTTGAAAGCCAATCATAAAAAATCTAACCTATTTTAAGCTTTTGAAAGAGATGCATTGGAGATGTGCATTCCAAGTTAAAGTCTTCTCTTTTGACATTCATATTACATGGATTTACATTCCATTCATCATTTGACATGTGTTCAAATTTAATTAATGTTCAAAGTGGAGCATTGGAGATGCTCTTAAATGAGATTAATTCTCTTTATTATAATACAAAGAATTTCTGAGATCACAACAACTTCAAAGTTCTGCACAAAGTGCTGGTGTTGGCTTCGGCCACACGCGCGATTGGATTGTGGGATGGGCCGGTATTGGGCTTGGTACAAGGCTTGGGCCTTAGGCCCAACCACTATATATCTTTTTGGGCAAATAAATTTGCAATTCTGAATCTCAAAATAAAATCCAAACCGAGTTGGATTTGGACTCGGGTATTGCCCCAGCCCGTGTGAGAGGTACATTGAACCTGGACGTGAGACTGTTCAAAATTAAACTTGATATATAAATTATAATATTGTATTTCAAAGAATTATCTAGAAAGTAATAGATTACATTTATGTAGAAATATGTAGAATAGATTTGTGTAGAATAATCTAGGAAGAATTATGGCATGGGCTAGAAACTTCCACCTTCTTCAAAGATTGCCTATAAGTATCTTATATACCATGTTTGATGTAAAATGAAATGATGAGAAAAAGTTTCTACTTCCTTCCAATAAATTCCTAGTCTAGTCATCATCTTCACACTACTCACTTTGCTCAACAATAACATATACAATATATACAAATTCCAACATATACTAACATATACAATATATACAAATTCCAACAAAGTGGTATCAAAGCCAAGTTCATTCCTCAATGGCGAACAACCTACAATCCTTTCAAGTCTCAATTCTCAATAAACTTCGATGATTGGTGTATTAAAATGACGGCTCTACTAGGAGCTCACGAAGTGTGGGAGATTGTAGAGAACTGGTACGAAGAAACAAGATATTTAATCTTAAATTAAACCCATCATGATAAAATCCAAGTCATATCAAAATCCCAAATAGACATTCAAGTCATATCAAATTCCCAGGTTCAACAATCGAATTCAAATTCTAAGCATGCGATACAAATCCCAAAAAGAAACAAGAATCAATTTGGTTCAGTTTCCAACATCAATAATAAACAAGTCTGACGATGAGATAGAAAAAAATTAAATAAGCGGAAGCAAGTAAAACAGTTCAACATCAAATAATGACCCCGCCTCGCTCGTCTTTCGCTACGGTCACCAGCTCAACCTGAAAAGAGGGTTAATAGTGGGAGTAAGCAAACAAGTAGCTCACCTTGGGAATACCATGCAGTATAATCAATATAAAGACTTAAAATCATAATCGCAACATGAACATAATCATCTAGTCTACCTCCTATACCGCCCTACGCTCATGTGATCACATCTAAACCGTCCAACGACGGGAGCTAAACTGTCGGACTAACATCCACGAGAGATACTGAGATACACTCTCATTAGGCATAACTAGAAAAACCGTCCACCGAAAGATACACTCTCGAAGACTAATGATTCACATACATACATTGATTATCAAGCCAAGCATTTATAGAAATTAACATACATGGTAAGTTTATGAACACCCACCTAGACAATCGAGGTAGACGTTAACACAATAATCAGCAGGAGGTTGGCAGAGGGCTCGACTCCTCATTAATCTACAATTAATAATTTTTATCCTATTATTAAGGGCGGACAGGAAAACAGGCAAAGACAGACAACAAGCAAGGGAAATTAAACATATAAGGCAGACAAAACACACAGAGAAATAAAACAGAATCAATGCATACAAACGTCTTAAATAATACTTAAAAACTTTAGATATTTAAATAACCACATCATAATTTCAAAGAGGCATATCTTTGACTGAAAGGAGAATAAATAACGATAATTTCACATAAAGCCTGCAAACAGTAAAATGGGTTCAACTCACACATAAGTTCTCACATTGGAATAGAAAAACATGGAAATTCATAAAGCACTAATTCCAATGCAGTTATCAACAACACACATTGATTCACTTCACAAGACTACAGAGTTCCTAAAATTTGTTACTGATAGTGATACATCCTCAAACCACTAAATACCATCCATAGTCATATGGTCATGGCAACACCAAAACAATATACATTGCTATTCATATCTAATGCACTAAGAAAATTTAACACAATAATCAGCAAATACAAACAGTAAAAACATGATAATGACACATCCCAAAGCCAGAGCACATCCATCCGCATTTACCAAAATAAAAAGGGATAAGAGATCAAGATTAAACCAAGGCTCAGCTCAGGCTAACCAAACAAGGTAGAGAACTCAGATTTTCATTAATTCTTTTCTCAAAGTTAAAACCTCAATAACCATGCTATACCATATTCTCAGTTCATAGCATGACTAAATCGTAGCCTTCAAACACACAAAACAACCATGGCAAAATATACCAAATTCGAGCACCTCTTTTCTCAAATACCCAAAGCCTGAGTTCTAGTTTTTTTTTTTAAAACTGAATTTAAACACGTAAAATACCATCAAATTTCAGCCAACAAGATGGACAAAACGATTCAGCTCGATTACCTTCGACAGATGTTAAAAATGGAGGCAATGAAGGCTCGGTCGCCGGAAGTCGGGGTTTAAGTCGCGGCTAAAGGGGCCTGCTCTCGGCCGTTGCACACAACCGCTTTCGGCCAGGTGCTGCCCCGTCGTGCCTCTGCTCTCGGCTCCGAAACGAAGGTCCGACGAGTTGCTTCTCGGTTCGCGTGGCCGCTGCTAAACGGACGATCGACGGGGTGTCGCTGCTCTTCCCGCACGGGCCCGAAAGGCTGCCGCTGCTGAAGAGGGTTGGCGTGGTCGAGGGTCGCCGGCTGAAACGACAACGACGGCGTCCCATCTGCTACTCTTCGCTGGAAGAAGCTCGAAACATCGCGAATAGAGGTTGCCGGAAGTCGCGGATCGATGGCCCGGACTCACCCAGCCGCTCGAAGGTCGGAAAAACGAGGTCGCAGAGTTGCTTTGCTCGGAGGTCACGGCCCGTCAGTGGTGGTCCCGGTCTGCTGGTGCTCGCGATTGAAAGTCGGGAGATTGTCGCTGGGTTCACAATGGTCGCGATGGCTTACGACAGGTGCTGCTCGCGGCGGGATTCTTGCGTTCTCTGGGCGGCGATAGCCGCGATAGGCTCGCAAGGTTCTTGCGGTGGCCGGAGGCTGAGAGAGGAGAGCGATTTGAAGGATTGTCGCTGAATCGATTAGGGCCCAAGAGTTTCATTTTTTTCTCGTCTGAAGAATAGTTGTAGCGGCGATTAGTTTGAAGAGAAATTAGGGCTTGAGATAAAGTTATTGGTTCTAACCAAATGGGCTGGAAATTAACTCATTTGGGCTGGATTTAATAACATTATAGGGCTGAGAAAATACAATTAAATTGGGCCGAATTAACTTATCCTAAAGGATCGAAAATTAATTCGAACAGGCCGAAATAATTAACCCTAATTGGGTCGGAACAATTAGTAACAACGGGTTGTAATATTGGGCAATAGGGTCGATAAGACTCGAAAACGAATTAAAACGGATTTAAAATCGGTTTACGCGATTAAACCGAAAATCACTGAAACAATTAAATTCTAATTCAAATAAATCTTAAAAATTCTAACACATTAATAATAAATTAAAACACATAATATTCACATAAATAAAGTCACAATAGCAGTTCAATATATAGGCAGATAGAGACGAGCAATTAGTAAAATAAACGAGCAAATAATTATAAGACATGGCAAATAGTCAAATATAAGCAAATAAATAATAATATAATATTCAAAAAATTCTAATAAATGAACAGGGCGCTACAACAACAATTTCTGTGGATAATAAGTCGGCAATTACACTAGCAAAGAATCCGGTGATCCACAATCGAAGCAAACATATATACACACGCTTCAATTACAACAGAGAATGCATTTCAAAAAAGGAAGTTCAAGTGGAGCACGTCAGATCACAAGGCCAAATTACTAACATTTTTACCAAGCCCCTCAAGCATGAAGATTTTACAAAACTCAGAAGTTTGTTCGGGATGACAAACCAAGTTTAAGAGGGGGTGTTCAAAATTAAACGTGACTTGATTTATAAATTATAAAAATGTATTTCAAAGAATTATCTAGAAGGTGGTAGATTACATTTGTGTAGAAGTATGTAGAATAATCTTCGAAAAGTGAATTATGGCATGGGCTAGAAACTTCCAACTTCCTCCAAGATTGCCTATAAATATACCATGTTTGATGTAAATTGAATTGCTGAGAAATATTTACATTTGATTTATTATGTTGCGGAATTTTTTAATATTGTTTATTTTATGATGTTTAACAGTTTATGTTTGG